TTTTGTTTGTAGGTCCTGACATAGAGGCTGGAATATAACAGGTAGTTAAAAAATGCTTGTGAAATTGAGTAAGAGCTAATAAAGAAAATACTAGTTATAAGAGCTATGGGGACTTGTCATTCAATTTTGACATAAATATCAGCTCTTCAGTGGCTTTCTCCCCCATCCCTCACTCCCTTGCAAAATACTTGTTGTTTCTACTTACTCTCCATCTCATGATCTGTTTTGGTTTCATTATTGGTTTCATTGCGGACATCTGTTATTTTTGTGTTTATTTTCTTGTTTATTTGCTATCTGTCTTGTTATCAGCATCCAATTTTTCACTGGATTCAGTGGGACTTTAAATGTCAGGGGACTTTGCCTGGGATCCTATCTGTTCCATACACAGCATAGCTTCAGCTTTTGGGAGAATGCCTGACACTCAGAAAGCATCCGATGGGTATATTTGTAAAACATATGAATACACTTCTACAGTCCTGCCTTCAAGAACAGACATCTAAATAGCATGCTCACCATATAATTTATTTTTCACATTGTCACTGTTGACAATGAAAGAGGACACTTGTTAGGTGCCAGGATAATAGGTGTAAACTTTACAAATCCTTGTTGAATGAATAAAGGAACAATGGAAAACATTCATATTTAGATCACTGGGGGGTTTGACAGATACCAGGATTATGGAATAGTTTTCTTAAAAAGATTATTTTTACATCTGACAGTTCAGGAGATCAAGACATCTAAAGGTCAAGAAAGGATTTCCAAGAAGTCCTAATGGACCCTTAGAAAGTACCTAACAGTGATTTGTAACCAGTGCTATATTGAATGTCAATGGGTACTATTTAGATGACTTTCAAGTACTTTATGCAACTTGATTTCTCCAAGTAGTTAACATTCCTTCCCTAATCCCACTGGTAACTTAGTTCACACAATGAATTCCTTAGGAAATCTTTGATTGTTTCTCCTTATTCTACAGCTTAGAAAAGGTGATTTTAAGTTCAAACTCAAATTACCTAGACTTCTCCAAGAGCGGGATTCAGATTTGGAAAGGTTTTTCATTTGTTTGTTTTTGTATTTCTAATAGACAAACAGGGTCTGGTAAATTCACAGAAATAACAGAACTGCTTGAAAAGTTAAATACTTTAATGCTGAACTTACAAATGGGAGTCTTATTTGTAAAGATATTATATTAGCACAATATGGAGATCTGTCATGTTTCCCTGACTTGGTATAGTGGCAGAGTTAGGACTGCCAGGCAAAAATAATAATAAACTGATCTGATTCGTTTGCATTGAATATGTTCTCGGGTAATGTACCTAAGACCTAGGCATTTAGTTGGAGGGCCAGGAAAATAGCCGCTGGCAAGGGGGTGGCTGCCTTTGGGCTAGTGATCTACTCTGTGGCCTATTCCATTTCCGGCTTTCTCTGTGATCCAGAAACACCTGGGCAATGACAGATATTAAGTGAAATTCCTCCGATGTGCCATGAACTGTGCTCATGGGAACTGAGGAGATTCACACATGAAGATCCCAAAGAGGGTCTCTGGCTCCTCAGACATACAGACATAGCAACTGATTTGATGCATACAGTTTAAGAGTAGTAGAAGGCAGAAGTGGGGTGATGGTAAGATGTTCCACACTAGGAAAAGGGCCAGTGGGCGGAGAAGTACACATTCAGGGATGTGACTGAAATATGCTGTATTAGAGCAGATAGTGCCCATGTGCCAGTGGAGGGTGATGGGAATAGAGAGGCAGGCTCAGATGAGATCCCACAGGTCCTCGCGGATCATGCTGCAGTATAGGCCTCATCCTTTCTCTACTTTTCCATACTATCCTTTACTACTGTAATAGTTACACCTCCCAGAGACCTGTGAGGATGAAACTACAGCTCTTACAGTTGTAGAATAACCAGGATGAGTCACTGCTGGACAGAGGGGCAACCGGTTGTTCTGACTAAAGACAGCACTAATGTGAAAAACACCTCTCATTTGTATAAGTCTTCAGGAACTCATCAACATATAATATTACCTATTTGATTGTTTACGGTCTCCTGTCACTCAGTTACTGGCACATGGGTATTTGTCTAATGAATAAATTACTCTTAAGTCAATAGGAAAACAATTGTTGAAATTTGCATTTTGATTTGAGAGACAGTGTGTGTCACGTGCACACGTGCGTGTACACACACACACACACACGGGTGGGGGAAGAGGGCAAGGGGGAGAACTTTTTTTAATGTTTATATATTTTTGAGAGAGAGAGAGAGAGAGAGAGAGAGAGAGAGAGCAGGGGAGGGGCAGAGAAAGGGAGACACAGAATCTGAAGCAGGCTCCAGGTTCTGAGCTGTCAGCATAGAGCCTAACACAGGGCTTGAACTCACAGACTGTGAGATCATGATTGAGCCAAAGTTGGACACTTACCTGAGCCACTCAGGCACCCCAGGAGAGGGAGAAACCTTAAGCAGATTCCACACCTATTGCAAAGCCTGATGTGGGGCTCAATCTTACAATCCATGAGATCATGACCTGAGCCTAAATCGAGAGTCAGCTGCTAAAGGAATTGAGCCATGCAGGCGTTCCTCAAATTTGCAATTTTAGAATACACTTATGCTGTGACCATAATGTATGGATTTTGAATGGGGTGAAAGGATGAGAAATGAGATTTGGAGACAAAGTGACTAAGTCTGTAGAATAATCCTTACATGACTTAAATGATCCTAAGTAGTCTCCAATGACCCTCTCTACTACTCCTGGGGGCTAAGAAGATGGAGACAGAAATTAATATAAAATAAACATCTGTGGTGCATCAGCTACTGTGTTAGGTGTTCATATACTTCATATTATTTAACTCTCAAACCAAAAACTCCTCCAGAGTGCATAAATTCCATTTTATAGATAAAGCTGAGACTCAGAAAGATTAAGTAATCTGCCTAAACAGCTGCAATTTGAACCTAGATTTACCCAACTTTAAAGTGGATGCCCAGTTGGAAACTATAGCATGCTGCTGATCAGAATATTTGAGGAACAGCAGGTCAGTCACTGAAATCTCGGTTTTAAGATTTGCCATTTGCTTTCCTGAGGTTCTTTACAGGCTCTCAACTGTGCAGGAAATGGCATGTTATTACTGGGCATTTGGACTCCTGCATTTTCATTGTGAGTGATGCTCTTTGCAGAAGTAGTTTTCAATTTCCTTAGCCACATTTCCCTAATACAAATCCTGGCTAATGTTTTCAGCTCTACCCTCTCCAAAATCTGACAGCTGAGTTCACAGATAAGCCTCTTTTCCATGCTGCATCCTGCCTCAGTTCCTCAGACAATCCCAGCCGAGGCAGAGAATTATCTACAACCACAGCACACTCATTTCAGAGTACCTTAGAAATAAGCCTATGTACTAATGCCAATGGCCAGTCACAGAACTTCTAGGAATCTGTTCCCAAGTATTTCTATTTGACAATCAGATGCAGATCTTGGTGTATCCTCATTCCATCTTGATTCCATGATTCCTGAAATCTGCAATTCTTCCCTTTTCCTCCTCTGCTTAGTGCTTAACCATACAACAAGATTTTCCCCTAGGGCCCTACTCCAATTTTCTGACTTTTACCTTGTGATAAATTCTAACTCTTTTTCAGGACCAGAGTCATATCCTAAACCATAGGTCTGTGCTTTCCCATTATGCTCTTGCTGTGCTGTCTTCCACGGACAATGTCTTGATCCCTACTTTGGCCTCGTGCTGGTGTGCCATCTATATAGCCATTTGCCTACTTCCTGAGTATCAGTTGCCTTTCATTCCTTGCCACTGTATATCATTTGCTCACTGCATCTTGGGAATTTGTGGTAATGATTTCTATCTGTTCACCACCAATGTGTACTCCTTTTCACTCCACCTTAGTGTAGCACTGTTGCTAAGAGTAACTGGGCATCTAGAAAATATATTTGCTGGCCAACCATCTTGCACTGAACTGGGAACATGGGACTAAATTCTTTCTAATATAGATGATGGAAGGATGTATGCTACTTCCAAACTGGCCCATCAAAACCTACACAGAGCCAACTAGGTGGCACCTTTCATCTACTGTTGGTTATATTAAAGTGGTAGATTCTCCATCAACCTGTGTCCTTGATTGACTTTTTAAAGTGCAAGCAACACCTCCTTTTAAGTGAGTGAAAATTGGTCTCTAGTCTAGGATATCAAGCAATTGTGATTTGGGGGTTTGCCCGACACAGGAGTCAGCTATACTTACATAATACATACTTCTTCCAAAAACTACGGAGGCCAACATTTTTTTTTTTTTTTTTTTTTGAGTTGGTTGAGCTTATGACCTTTCAAACAAACACTGTGCCACTGGTCTAGCAGCTCCTCTGGTGTCTGCCACCATTACCAAGTCAGTTTTGCAACCTCTGCCTAGACATAAAGGACTCATACAAGGCCAAGTTCTATCTCTCTTCCCCTCTGAGTCAGCCTCATGTTGCCTCCAACTGGCCAAACTATGGCATACAGAAAAGCATTTACTTATTTTTCCTTTTTTTAATATTTTTCCTTTTTTAAAAGTTTATTTATTTATTTTGAGAGTAGGGAGCAGAGAGAGATACAGAGAGACAATCCCAAGCAGGCTCCACACTGTCAGTGTAGAGCCCAATATAGGGCTCAGTCTCATGAACTATGAGATCATGACCTGAGTTGAAATTAAGAGTCAGATGCTTAATGGACTGAACCACCAAGGCACCCCCAGAAAGGCAGTTAAAAACCAAACTGTTTAGGGGTATCAGTTGGTTGAGCATCACCTTCGGCTCAGGTCATGATGCTGAAGTTCAAGGGTTCGAGCCCTGCATTGGGCTCTTTGCTGACAGCTCAGAATCTGGAACCTGCTTCAGATTCTGTGTCTCCCTCTCTCTCCCCCCCTCCCCCATTTGCCCTTTGTCTCTCTCTCATAAATAAAAACATTTAAAATTAAAAAAAAAAACCACCCAACTGTTTACTGGGAACAAACATAGGGAAACCAAGTACCTCCATGGCCACAAGTCTTTGAACATTCTGTCCAAGTTGTCCACCCTGAGAGCTGACAGTTGACCACACAGTCCACCAGGCAGTGAATGCTCATTCTCTGGGGCTTCTCCAAGTTATGCTGCAGATGGAAATAAAGTATGATTTTATTGGAGAAATCATATCACTGTCAAATCAATTCACTATCCTTTCATGGGAAAGACTTCATTCTATGTTCTTTATTCTATGATAACAATCTTTCTACATCTTTGTAGGGAACAATATCCTTTCTTATATAAATTGGTGGTAGTCACAGAAAATGGTTGTCCTCACATCACAAATAAGAAGCATGTTGGCCCAAGTTTATTTTTATAAGATCCTCAACTATAAAATAGACCTGGAATTAGGGTGCTAGGAGTGCAGGCAGTTAGATGACACAGAAATGTGTCCTCGCTTAGCAAGCACAGAAGCACGGAGGATGCCTCAGTTTTAAATTCAGGTACCTTGCTGTTCTGCATTGTCCAACAGCACACAGAGAGCTCAAAATTAATAGCCCTCCAGGCTAAAAAAATAAATAAGAATAAAAACAAAATCCACAACTATACTCATTAAAAAGACCAATTAGGTTGAAAACATAACCATACTCTTATTTAAAGGAAATGCTGGTGGTATGGTTTATTTTTCTCTTGTCCTCTCTGAAAGTAGCATCTAGGGAATGTCTATAGCTTCTTGTAATGGCCAAGTTAAAAGAGATCTTAGTGAGAGAATAAATCATCTAAGAAACACAGAAAGAATAATGAAAAATTCTGCTACAGAAATCATACACCGTGTGCTTATTTAGGAAAACTCTGACATTCAACACATGCTAAATGTTAGCAATGTCCACACCAAGTTAAAATTAATGATTTTTTTCATGATTACATGCTGCATGGGCGAAAAATAAATTACCACATAGGATATGATCCATTTGAGATAACAGATATCTAGATAGGTGAATAATTTGGAACTTCTTTAATATTCTTTAAATATTTGCTTAATACATGGTATTTGGAAACTGATTTTTCTATTAATGAATCGTTTATATCTTACTTTGTATCAAAAGAAAAGATTTATTACATGCACCAAATGTAACATTTTCAACTTATTTGGAGTTGCTGCAGATCCACAATTTATTTTTCCTGCAGACTTCTGCAGAGGCAAATTAAATGAAATGTTAAAATAAATCACTGACACATGGTGGACAGAACTCTGGCCAGTTTTACAATTTCACCAAACAGGATGTCCAATTTTGGATGGCCTGGTCTTTGGGCTGTTGTGTGTCTATACTGTTGGGTAAGAGAGCCATGTTTTACTAATACTTGATAGGCTAATACTTAAGTCAGGATAGGTAAGAAAACTTTAGTTTTGATTTGAATTTCACTTGTGGACTCCACCTGTCTTAGGAGAAATGGGACCAATTTTCATTTGCCAATTTGTGAGGGACTCTTCTGCGGAAACATGAGTTCACTGACCCTGGATTTTCAGCTTCCAATTTTGGAATTTACAATTCCATAAACTGTGTTGATGATTCTAGTGTGAGAGCATATGGCAGTTCTTCTTTCTATTTAACTGTCCCCATAGTGATTTTCACTTTGATGTCGGGGAGGAAATGCAACTTCTCTGGAAGAGATTTGACTACAGCACTTGTCAAACTCTATATAGTTTATCACAGGAAAAAAAGGAATGATAACATTGCAAAAATTCAGAATTCACTAATTGCAACTTTGTAGGGAGGCACTTTAACTTAGATTGCAAAGAAAAACACAACTGTGCTATTTATCTAGCAATCCTTTCTAAGCAAATTAGGAGTGTATTCTAATAGCAAGTGTCAGTGTTCATCTCATATGCAAGGCACAATGACTATCATATATGCAAATGAATCATCTGCCTAATACAGAATCGTATCTAAATATTATAGTCACCTGACATGAATAGTTTGTTAGAAAATACATCTATATAAGTTCTTGAAAGTAGTACACATAATTTTTTAATAAACCCATTTCCTCAGTGTAAAATGACCTTTCCTAGTCATTTTTTTTTTTTACAAATAGTTTATTGTCAAATTAGTTTCCACATAACACCCAGTGCTCATCCCCACAAGTGCCCTCCTCCATGCCCATCACCCCTCCCCCCTACATCCATCAGTTCTCAGTTTTTGTCAGCCTTCAAGAGTCTCTCATGGTTTGCCTCTCTCCCTTTCCCCCATCATTTCCCCCCTTCTTCTCCCCCTTGGTCCTCTGTAAAGTTCCTCCTAATCCTCCTATATGTGCAAACATATGATATTTGTCCTTCTCTGCCTGACTTATTTTGCTCAGCATAACACCCTCAAGGCCCATCCATGTTGCTACACATGGCCAGATTTCATTGTTTCTCATTGCCATGTAGTATTCCATGGTATAGATAAACCACATCTTCTTGATCCATTCGTCCGTTGATGGACACTTAGGCTCTTTCCATGTTTTGGCTATTGTTGAGAGTGAACAACCCAGTAAACATTGGGGTACATGTGCTCCTATGCCTCAGCATTTCTATATCCCTTGGGTAAATTCCTAGCAGTGCTATTGCTGGGTCATAGGGGAGTTCTATTGTTAATTTTTAGAGGAACCTACACACCGTTTTCCAGATGGGCTGTACCCTTTTACATTCCCACCAACAGTGCAAGAGGGTGCCCGTTTCTCCATATCCTCGCCAGCATCTCGTGTTCTCTGATTTGCTCATTTTAGCCACTCTGACTGGTGTGAGATGGTATCTCAGTGTCATTTTGATTTGTATTTCCCTGATGAGTCGGGATGCTAAGCATCGTTTCATGTTTGTTGGCCATCTGGATGTCCTCTTTGGAGAAGTGTCTGTTCATATCTTCTGCCCATTTCTTTACTGGGTTGTTTGTTTTTTGGGTGTGGAGTTTGGTGAGTTCCTTATACATTCTGGATATTAACCCTTTATCTGATATGTCATTTGCAACTATCTTTTCCCATTCCATTGGTTGCCTATTAGTTTTGTGGGTTGTTTCCTTTGCCGTGCAGAAGATTTAATCTTGATGAGGTCCCAATCATTTATTTTTGCTCTTGATTCCTTTGCTTTGAGGGATGTGTCAAGTAAGAAGTTGCTGCGGTGGAGGTCAAAGAGGTTGTTTCCTGCTTTCTCCTCTAGGGTTTTGATGGTTTCCTATCTCACATTCAGGTCCTTTACCCATTTTGAGTTTATTTTTGCGTACGGTGTGAGAAATTGATCTAGTTTCATTCTTCTGCATGTTGCTGTCCAGTTCGCCCAACACCATCTGTTAAAAAGGCTGTCTTTTTTCCATTGGATATTCTTTCGTGCTTTGTCAAAGATCAGTTGGCTGTATACTTTTGGGTCCACTTCTGAGTTCTCAATTCTGTTCCATTGGTCTATGTGTCTGTTTTTGTGCCAATACCATACTGTCTTGAGGATGACAGCTTTGTAGTAGAGGCTAAAGTCTGGGATGGTGATACCTCCCGTTTTGGTTTTATTCTTCAGTATTACTTTGGCTATTCGGGGTCTTTTGTGGTTCCATACAAATTTTAGGATAGTTTGCTCTAACTTTGAGAAGTATGCTGGTGTGATTTTGATTGGAATTGCGTTGAATGTTTAGATAGCTTTGGGTAGTAATGACATCTTAACTATATTTATTCTTCCTATCCATGAGCATGGGATGTTTTTCCATTTATTTGTGTCTTCTTCAATTTCCTTCATAAGTTTTCTGTAGTTTTCATCATACAGATCTTTTGTATCCTTGGTTAGGTTTATTCCTAGGTATTTTATGGTTTTTTGTGCAATTGTGAATGGGATCAGCTTCTTGATTTCTCTTTCTGTTGCTTCATTGTTGGTGTATAGAAATGCAGCCAATTTCTGTACGTTGATTTTGTACCCTGCAACTTGGCTAAATTCTTGGATCAGTTCCCGTAGGCTTCTGGTGGAGTCTGTTGGGTTTTCTATGTAGAGTATCATGTCGTCTGCAAAAAGTGATAGTTTGACTTCCTCTTTGCCAATTCTGATGCCCTTCATTTCCTTTTGTTGTCTGATGGCTGATGCTAGGACTTCCAGCACTATGTTAAACAACAGTGTTGAGAGTGGACATCCCTGTCGTGTTCCTGATCTCAGGGGGAAAGCTCTCAGTTCTTCCCCGTTGAGGATGATGTTAGCTGAAGGCTTGTCATAGAGGGCTTTGATGATATTTAAGTAAGTTCCTTCTATCCCAACTTTCTCTAGTCTTTATTAAGAAGGGATACTGTATTTCGTCAAATGCTATTTCTGCATCTATCGACAGGATCATACGGTTTTTATCTTTTCTTTTGTTGATGTGATGTATCACATTGGTTGATTTGCGAATGCTGAACCAGCCCTGTAACCCAGGAATGAATCCCACTTGATCTTGGTGCATGATTCTTTTTATGTGCTGTTGGATTCGATTTGCACGTATCTTGTTGAGGATTTTTACATCTGTATTCATCAAGGATATTGGCCTGTAGTTCTCTTTTTTTGCTGGGTCTCTGTCTGGCTTGGAAATCAGAGTGATGCTGGCTTCATAAAATGAGTCTGGGAGTTTTCCTTCACTTTCTGTTTTTTGGAATAGCTTGAGAAGAATGGGCATTAATTCTTTTTTAAATGTCTGGTAGAATTCCCCGGGGAAGCCATCTGATCCTGGGCTCTTATTTGTTGGGAGATTTTTTATCACTGATTCGATTTCTTCATGAGTTATGGGTCTGTTTAGATTTCCTACCTCTTCTCGTGTGAATTTTGGTAGTGCACGTGCGTTTAGGAATTTGTCCATTTCTTCTAAGTTGTCCAATTTGTTGGCGTATAGTTTTTCATAGTATTCTCTGATAATTGCCTGTATTTCTGAGGGGTTGGTTGTAATAATTCCATTTTCATTCTTGATTTTGTCTATTTGGGTGCTCTCTCTTTTCTTTTTGAGAAGCCTGGCTAGAGGTTTGTCAATTTTGTTTATTTATTCAAAAAACCAACTCTTGGTTACATTGATCTGTTCAATTATTTCTTTGGTCTCTATGTTGTTTATTTCTGCTCTAATTTTTACTATTTCTCTTCTTCTACTGGGTTTAGGGCGTTCTTGTTGCTCTGCCT